ATAAAAGAAAATATTATGAGATTAGAAAGTTATACTGCCAATTATTACTTTCAAAAAAGGAATACAAAATCTTATGAAATGAAAGTTGCAGCTTCATTATAAAAAATATTGATATGAATACAGTATCTTATAAAATGAGATTTGCAAAATTAAATATAAAAGTGAAAAACACAAAAAAGCATTGACAAATCTGAGGCCAAATCCGAGCAACCATAGCAGCAAAATAAATCCCAGATGATGACTTTGATTGAACAGGGAAAAAAGATCTCATACTCTTATACGGCAACCAAATCAAAAACCTAACTAAAGAAATTTATAACCTGTTGGTATAACACCATGGAGATGAAAAAAAATAAAAAAACCCAAAAATAATTGTTGTTGTATATGATGAAAAAAGTGATATATGATGAAAAAAAAATTGTTGTTGTATTCGTAGTAAGTTGTAAGACTTTATATGTCGCAATGTTTCGATAAAGATTATACATTATCGTCATTCTTAAGAAAACAATATACGATATACAAATAAAACATTAACAATGAAATTAACTTGTTATGCCTCAGAAATTATAGTTGTATACTTTTGGACCAATAAAAAAAATTATGATGGCGAAAACTTTATGAGCGCATGTGTTTAAGTGGACTCTTCAATATTTCCATAAATAAAACAAATTATACCAACTAAAAATAATAAAATACCAAAAATAACATGAAACGATCTAATGTATAGTTGAAAATTCGTTGAAGAAATGAACAATATATATGCATTTTTCTTTTCATCCTTCACAATCAAATCCATGAGTTGTCTCTTTGAAATGATGTCATATCTCTTTTTTTGTACACTATCATTTGTGGATTTTATTTTCTTTTTACAATATCAGTTTTGAAATATTAGTCTATTGTTTATCTATAAAATACAGTCAATTTTCGAGATCTATTTTATATGGATATGAAGGGTCATCCCCAAAAACTATAGATAATATTTAAAAAAATATACTTTTTTTAGTTGAATAAATTGTATTATTTATGATAAATATAACTTCATTATTTTTTACCTCTCTCTATTTGTATTGCATTTGTTATTTTAAAAAATATATTATAAAATAAAATAAAAAAAAAAGTATGAAATTTAGAAGTCTAAGTTCGCATTTTTGTTAAAAAAGAATGATACGTTGACTTGACTAAACCTTACTCCAGCTCACATAAGAGTTTGTAAATGATTAGACTTTTTACAATTTAAATTAAAAGATATTGTTTAGGAATAAGGTACTCTATACAAATAATTTAATGGTTACTTGTATATTCCTAGAATTACATAGAGGTTAAAATAATATAATATTAGATTAATAAGAGATGATTATATATTTTATTAATGTGTACGAAAATTCCATCATATTAGAGTATATGTGTCAAACGTGACATGGTG